TTTTATTTTTTTTTGTATCCACATTTATTGTTATTAGTATTTTTAAGATATGTAGTTTATTAATCATTTTTATTGTTAATTAAATAAATAAAAAAAAGGGACTTTGTAAATAAATATTTGCAATTGTGCCCTTATTTTTTTGCTTAATGAGGGAGGAGTTATGTTATATGTCATTTCACACCTTTCTTAAAAGCATTCTCTAGTTAGGCCCTTTACTTTAGGATATTAGTTTTAAGTATCTTTAAGTATTCATAGATGCATGAGAATTTTATGTATTTTTTAGTTTTCAAGACCATTCTAAAAATTGTGAGCAACGAACGTAGTCGTTCACTGAATTTTTGTTTCACCTAATATATAAATACTTAAGTAAAGTATATAGTTTTTTTTGCTAAATTTATCAACGAATAACTTAATTACGGCGACACGGCAAATGTTTATAATAAAAACTTTTTATGCAGCCTTGCGTTTGAAATATTTATAGGTACACTGTCGCACTTAAATATTAAATAATTAAAAAAATAGTCAAGTAATAAGAAAATTTTGGGAGTTCTGCAGCTCTGCAGCCCTTATACACTAGCCGCCCCTGATACTTTATCTACGACGACCGCAAAGAAGAATTTACATCCAATTTTATTTGTTAAACATTTGACATCTGTCAAATGTCAACGGAATTAACCTCACTTTTCTCTAATTTATAATAAAGCTAACTTCAGCCCGTGACTAAAATGCCCAAAAGCCATCATTGCTAACTTCAGCCCGTGACTAAAACGCCATAAAGTCACAGCTCGTCAATGTAGGAGTAGATAAAAGAATTAATTATTTCTTAATAACAACTAGACTTTCTGAAGGTTTCACTTTAGATTTTAGGGAAAAGTAGAAAAAAACTATTTGTTACACCAAGAAATAATTTCCGCTCAAAAAACTTCTTATATTGCAAAATATAAAAATGCCATTTTAATTTCTACTTATCGTTTTTTTGCAGCTATATAATCTTTCATTGTGTTATACAATAGATTGAACAATAGGTATTGAAGCATGAAAAAATCAATATTTATTGTTTATTACTTAACAGTATGAAGAAATGTGAAATTTTACATTGTCTACTTGTCAGAAGGATACTGTAACATTATACAGGGTGATTCAAAAGTCTGGGACCATCGCCCCTGTGGTAATTAACGAAAAAGTTTTGCTAAAAATACTCAAATGTTTGCGTTGCATTTCGCCCTTTCTTATTTGGCCGATAAGAAAGATACAGATCACTAAATTTTACGTATTAGGGCAAGAGGGAAAACCCTCTTGCAAGTATTTGGGGGCAATGGGCGTAATTTAAACCTGAGCTACAGAAACAACCATATTGGAAAGAACGAGTTAATGAAAATTTTGGAATGCGAATAATGTGGACAGACGTTTGACGGTTTGGGCTGTTAAGAATTCCCATGTTATGCTTTGAAGAACGTTCCAACGTCCAATCGGTTTTCGATCAATGTTTGGGCTGGTATCTTATAGGTCCATTTTTTTACCCGATAGCATAACTGTATGAACTCCAACGACTTCTCCATGACCTCCCTTTGGCAGCTTTGCAAAATTTTGAGTCTGCAGTAGGATAACGAGCTTGCCCATTTTGCTGTTCAGGTCAGACAGTGGCTGGTCCCAGCAAACACACTAGTCCGGCCATGCAATGGCACATTAATGGGCCATTGCATTATGTAATGGCCCAGTAATGCGCCGTTGCATGGCCGGAATAGTGTGTTTGCTGGGGTCCTATTGCCTGGCCTCCACGAAGCCCTGATTTTACCTCGTATCCTTTATGCTGCTGCTACAGTAACCGCCAAATGCTGGAAAAGTGCATTTGAAGCCAATGGGCAAAACTTCGAGCATTATCTTTAACATTTAAAAATACATTTTTTATTGACATTCAGTCGTAGAACAGTTTTCATGTTTTTAAATTATTTAAAAGTTCTTATTGTTTTGTAGTTCACCAAGTATACTACCGGGTTTTCAAATTGTGACATTTTTAAACGTCTATAGAAGAAGAAGTCCGAACCTAATAATTGACAAAACCTGCCCACTAAATCGCATAAATTAGGATTTATTATTTCACCACCAGCGGCGCTGATTTCCATTGTGTTTTGGTACAAAACCATATAAGAAACAGAAAACCAGCGCCGTTTTATTTTTTGGACTCGTTTAGGCTTCATGGCCTATATCTTGGAAGTTCGAGGTCTTGAAACATTACCACCCGGACGATGGCACAACATTTTTTAATCACCCTGTATTGGGTTATACACTTAAAAGCAAGGTCTTATAATTTTTATAAAAAAAATAGTAATTTATTTTAAATAATTTAAATATGTCTTGGTTTGTTATCATAAAATCGTCAATAGGCACCTTTAACAATCTTTGAACGTGCAAGATAATGGTCACATTTTTCATTACCATCTGCCTAATAATAATTATGAGTAATTTATTAATTATTTTATTCTGTATAATGACGATATCTTAGCACGTATGAGATTAGATTGCAACAATTAAATTTTTGGCCTGAGTGGGAGAAAATCTACCGTTAAAAAATGAAAATAATTATAAAATATATTATAATTAAATTTATATTATGTAGGTACCATAGTAGGAAAATTATTTAGTCGCCAATAATTCCTTTGTATGGTAATACAAACATTACCTTTACAACAGGATGCATTGAAAGTAGGTATTTACCATATTTATAAATAAATGAAAATACACTTCCAAACAAAAATAATTTAAATGTATTTTGTAGCATTATCCTTTTCAAAGAAACTGCAAAATAATTGTTTTTAATTAAACCACAATAATAATGATTGTGATTAATCCTATTTAGCCATATAACTATTCATAGAAACGTTTAGGTCAAAAGTTAATAATAATCTTTACAAGCAAAATTTAAACAATTTATATTTTATATTGCTAAAAAGACAAGCTATGTTATTTTATTAATTACTTAATAGAAAATTAATTAACATCACTAAAATTTAGGTAGTCTACGAGGTAGTGGCGGCTGGTGGATTTTGGGCCCACCCATATCTAAGTTATTAGAGATGGGACCCACATCAAATTTATATAAACTTATAATGACATCATATAGGCCAGTTCTGCGCAAGCAGAATTTAAATTGAAGTTTGCGAAAAAAAGTTAGTTTTTAAGTGTCCCCCCCAGCCTCCTGCCCCCCAAATTAAGATAATTCAAATTAAAGTGGTACAATATTTAATTCACAAATTTTAAATTTTATTAAAAAAATTCAAGTATTACATGTAATGCAGATTTTATACCATTTCTATTTTTTTTTTAATTAGTAAAAGAAATAATAAAAATTTTAAATGGTGTAAAACCTGTTTTTCTTAAATTATTTTAATAAAATTTGAAATTTGTCGATAAACTTCAGTGAATTAAATATTGTACCACTTCAATTTAAATTATCTTAATTTGGGGGGCAGGAGGCTGGGGGGGCACACTTAAAAAGTACCTTTTTTCGCAAACTTCAATTTAAATTCTGCTTGCGCAGAACGATCACTTTCAAAATTTCAGATCATTCTGTTAACGAGTATTTATTTTACGAGCCTTTGTGTCGAGCAACTTTTGCATTTTTAAAAAATTACGAAAATAAAGTAATTTTCCTGTCCTTTTTAAGTACTATTTTTTTATGGGATAATAGAGGTAAATCAAAATTATGGGGACCAACATTTTCACCATTAATAACTGGTTTGTTGAATTTCGTCATGGTCGTAGATCAAAAAATTATGCTGAACGTTTTGAACGCTTAAATGGGGCACCATCTCCACCGAAAGACCCTATTGGAAGACCAAGGGGTGAATGTGTGAAATTACTAAGACTGTAGGCATCTTAACTGGATTGGCGATTTTTCTTGACATTTACATATAAAAAGTCCTCATTTGGTAAAGATAACAATCGTTTCACCAAGACAATTCCCCAGCTAAATCAAGACAAAAATCAAGGAATCAAGCTGGGAATTGCTACCGCATCCTCCGTATTCTCCATATTTGGCCCCCTGTGACTTTTTCCTTTTTTCAGAACTGAAAAAACTGGGGAAGAGATATGCCTCAAATGCTGAAGTTATCAAAGCTATAGACGATGCAGTTAAAGTACCTATAGTTGAAATAAATGTATTGAGCTAAAAGGAGATTATGTTGAAAAATAAAACATAATTTAACCCAAAAGATTGCATGCCAATTTTAAGGACGATCTATCCTTGTATTTTTATATGTAATATAATAAAAAAGTCATTACTTAAAAAAAAGTATGATTATTATTATGTAATTACATTATATAGGTAATTATACCTTAATATTAAAAATATATATAATATAAGTACATATGTATAAAAATAATTTTATGACACTAAGTGACCTTTTAAATACACATTGACAAGTTGTGGCTTGTTGGAGTTTTAGTCATGGGCTGAAGTTAGCAACAGGTCTTTAGTCACAGGCTAGAGTTAGTTTTAGGTTGTCAAATGTCATAAAATCGTTAAAATAAAGTACTCCTAAAAAATAATACTAAATGTAAAAATTATTTTATTTAACTAAATTTCGGGTGGAGACTCCACCGTGGAGTGCCCATATAATATTTTCTTCACTTTCACTGTGAAAAACTGCTTCTATATCGGATTTAAAAGGTAGTTAATCCATTTTAAGGGATAACATTCGATTTACACATAAAAATTTGACACTCGCAAGCTCGCTTGTGCCTAAATAAAAATTCGTGACTAAAATATACTACTATAATATATAAACATTTTTATTTATAGGAAAATTGTCTTTATTGTAGAATTTTATGATTAATATTATTTACTCTAAATAAACCAAATTATCGGAAAGGAAATGACAATGCAATTAAAATTGCTTTGTTATTTATTTATTTTTATCCATATGTTCCGAATGTTTTTAATAATTCATTATATTAATATCAATTCCAATAAAATACTAACAATATTTTTTTAATTTCAGCAAGTGCCAATACTTTAAAGACTTTACTAAGTTTTGCAGTGGGTGGAATTTTAGGAGACGTTTTTCTGCATTCATTGCCAGAAATTTTTGCCAATGAAGCAAACCACAAAAATGGTAAGAAAAATACTGATAGTTTTTTTGCAATATTTATTTAAGATTTAATAATATCACAATTATTCTCCACGTTACGTCATATGAAAGTAGTTATCTTCCCCTAAAAAATCATCTTTGAATTTTTTCAATATTTTTAAAAAAAAATTTAACATATTGTAAAAATTTAAAAAGTAGTTTAAAGAAAAAGTACTTTTAGAGGTCGCAAATATTTTAATAAAAGTATACTTTGTGGTTCTAATTATTTTTTAATAAGTTTCTACAATTCCTTATCTGTCATTGTCTTTTTGAACCTGATTTTTTATCTATTCCTAATAGTTATTAAGTAGTTACTTACTATTTTTTACATAATAGATATGGTATATAATTATCATAATTATACTTAAGTATATTACTTATATAAGAAATAATTAATTAGAGAAAATGCTGTGAATGAAGTCAAACCTCTCAAATAGAAGCCAGCGGGTCTTAATTGAAAGAGATGTTCTATCTGTCATTTGCAGTGTAGTGAAATTTTCCCTGTTATTTTTGTAATAAAGTTCATTTTTTTTATCTGGACTGCGGCAACGTTGCAAATTTAGGGTTTTGGTTGGTAAATACAGTTGTCAAGTTGGTCGCATTGATTAAAACAAACTAAGCTAGTAATAAATCTAATTGAATACGTCAATGCAGAAACTGAATATGTCCTACCTATCTAGTTTTGAGATAAATAAGAAAAACTGAACAGAAAGTGGACATATGTTCTGGACATATTCAGTTTCTCTACTATATTAACGCCTTTGTATATTCTAGATTACCGTGACATGTGAAATTTCTACGCCATTCGATCGGGCTCCCTTTACTTATAGTAAATCCATGTTTAACTCAATAGCCCTAAAAAGTGGACATATTCAGTTTCTGCATTGACCTATTCAATTGTGGTTATGTATAAAGTATTGTAGGTTACATTGTGCAGTTGTCAAGTTGAGTTGTCGAAATTCGTAGTTAAAAATGCAATTAATTTGGCTTTGGTGGTGCTTGGATGAGTAAAATCATATAAAAAAGTAGTTAAATATAGGTTGCTTTACGGCCCAGAAGAGAAAGTATTCCTAGCGGATAATAATCTTTGCTTTGAAAAGAATTTATATAAAAGAAATTTAAATTTTTTGTAAACGTAAATGTTGTCCAATGGTGAATAATGTGAAAATAATGTGTGATGTAATATTTATAAAACCAAATTCGTTACTTTTTTACTCCAAAAATGTCCATATGGCGATGTACTTTTTCTTCCATTGTGGCATTTGGCATAATTTCATTAAAATGAAGTTTTGCCCTCAAAAGGGCTTTTACATTCGAATTCGTTGCTATTATTTTTGGCATAATTATCTTTTTATTTATAATTGACAAGTAAATTATCAATAATAAATATTATTGTCAATTTGACAGTGTCAAAGTATTTAATTAAATTCTTTAGCAGAAGTACCATTTTTAAATACTAAAAATACTAAGTCAAACTGGCATAAGCCACCAACCTAACAAAAAAACACGAGTCCAGATAAAAAAAAATTAACTGTATATTTAAATGATTTGATTTGTACAAATTAAGGTAACCTAGAGCCATACTTTTAGGATTTATTTTTACATTGAATGCATTTCTGTTTTTTTGTTATTTTTTTGTTATTTTATGTACAAATATTTGAAAATTTAATGATATGATTTTTGATATTTGTTCACATTTAAAAAAAAATTTTCACTAAGAGTTATTCGTGATTGACCAAAATTTTAACATTTGTCGAATTTCTAAATTTAGAATAGATCTAACCACTTTTAAATGTAAAGGATTCTCTCTTCAAACAAACCCAAACTGATTTAATTTGCGAACAATGTGTAATTGAAACAGTGTGACGTCACTAACACTTACACATACGAATTATCTCGACCCCTACAAACAATAATCACCACAAAATCTCTTACACAATTAACTGAAAATAATCTAATTGAACTGTCCCTAATCTATATACGAGGCTTACTACTATATTTTAATATTATATTATTAAATCCGATAGATGAAACCACTCTTCCTACGTAATATCAAAGTATTTTTATTATTGTACGGCGGTGTATAAAATGTGACCTTTGAATTGCTTACAAATATAAAGTTCTTCTTTATAGGCTTATTTTTTTTTAATTTTTAGGCGGACATCATGCCATAAGCAGTAGTGGTATTTTAATATTAGTAGGTCTAATAGCGTTCGTATCGATTGAAAAGCTGTTTTCTGTGATAGAGCAGTTCGGTAAAAATAGCGAAAATGACGATAACACTTCTGAAAATAACAACACCAAAGGGATTGCCGAAAAACCAGTTAAAAAACACGTGAGTAACAATATGTTTTTTTATTATAAATATTCATACCTACTGAGCCGTTTTTTGCCAAAACATTTTTAAGTGTCAAATTTAGTTCACAACATTTTAGATGTTTAGAATATTGATCCCAACTTTTTTTTTTAATTTTATATATTTTCTTTAAATTGTTATTCAGGTTCTTGCGAATGCTGACGGTTAAAAAATCTTGATGAGGGGAAATTGCTGGGTAACGACGATGGGGGCTAGGGGGGTGCAAAACGGGCAAAACGGGCAAAAACGTGCTGACCTAATAAATGGAACATAAATGTTTTGTTAAAAAAATCATCATTTAGAATGTAATAGTAAATACCCACTGGGAAAAATAATATTTCTACAATGTTACTGAACGTTACATTTGTTAGATGTAATGTTACAAAACTCCTTGTGGCAATGTTGCAGGAACAAAAATGTTATTTTTGTTAATGTAAGGTTCCTGCAACACAACATTTGTTAGGTGTAATGTTACAAAAATCCTTGTGGCAATGTTGCAGGAACATTGCAACAAAGCCTTATGGTTCAGGAACATTACATTTACAAATAAAATGTTGCTTAAATGTATTAATTGCAATGTTACTAAATGTTCTTTTTGTTAATGAAGGTTCCTGCAACATTACAGACTGTTTCGACCTGTTTGGTCTCATCAGTGTCAGGCAGTCGGTGACGGGAGACACGCATCAAGCTCGACACAAAACTTATCAATGTAATATTATAATTGCAATGTTTCAAAAATATTCCAAAACATTCCAAAATAAATGTTTCTATTGTATATTTAAAGTAAAGTTGCAAACATTTTTCATTTGAAACTTGTGTTAATATTTCAATTGAAACATTGAAAAAAAGTTATGTCTGCAATATTATAATTGTAATGTTTAAAAACTTTTATGCAACATTTTATACTAAATGTTACAAATATAACATTGTAAAAACTTTCCATGTGAATCTTTAAATAATGTTTCAAATTTAAGGTTGTTGGAAATTATTATATGCAATATTTCAAATGAAACATTTCATTTATGTTAATGCAAGTAGCACAGGAAATATTTTATTTGTAAAGTCGGCGAACATTGCAACAATATTTTGTAAGGTTTCTTTTAGTATACTTTTTAGAATGTTTATCTATGTCCTTTTTAGAATGTTAATCTTATGTCCTTATGTATATACAGTGTTGGCCATAATTTTTGGAACCACTGTAAAAAAAATCTAACTTTAAAACGCCTCAATTATTATTTATAAAATTTTGGATAAAAATACTTCAACTTATATCTCAGTTTACGTGTTCGAGGGTTTTTCGAGAAAATATTTTTAAAGCCCTTTTATTTAATAATGAAAAAACGTTCGAAAAATAACTTTTAGGGTAATTTTTTAAGTAAATAAAAAATATGCTGTTAAAGACAGTATTTTTGTTAGTATACCCTTAAAATTTTGTACAAATTAAACGAACAGTAACGAAGATATAGCGCTTCAAAGTCGGCAAAAATGGCCTCTTTTTGATTATTTTGCTGAAAAGTGGTCATTTTTGACGACTGTGAATCGCTGTATCTTCGTTGCTGTTCATTTGATCTGTACAAATATTTCAGGGTATACTAACAAAAATACGGTCTTAAACAGCATATTTTTTATTTACTTAAAAAAAATTTTCCTAAAAGTTATTTTTCGAACGTTTTAGAGTTAGATTTTTTTTACAGTGGTCCAAAAATTATGGCCAACACTGTATATTTTTTATTAATTTTCAGATATTACATATTTTTTATAAAGTTTTATACAATCTGGGATTTATTAAATTGTTTATTCTAAAATCTCCATTTTTTTAAGTATAATTTACCAAAAACTATAAATGACTCGTTCAGAATCGACCATGCATTTTCCCACTCGTTCCACAATTAAAAATGTTCTTTAACATTTTTTATCTACTCTTATTGCTTAATATTGTTTTTTTTCGTGAATTTTGATAAACCTAAATTTCCTGCCTAGCAACGGGAATAATGAACTCATTATTCACGTTGTTAGGCATCAGTGATTGGCCGATTTTAATATTCACTGTGCTGTGAACCAATTGGGTTTAAAATTGGAAGAAGGCGACTTCAACATTTAAAATTGATAAAAAGTGAGGTTAACCCTTTGTTAGATTTAAAATTTTATTTATTTATTTTTGAAAATCATTTCATTATTTACTTATTGGAGTGGATAAAGTATAGTATTATACTCGAGATTATGCGCATTATTCACTCGAGTCTGGCGAATAATAGCCTGCATTATGTCTCGTAAAATAATATACTATTATCACTTTTCAGGTTTTTTTATTTTTGTTTTAATCTGAATTTGATCATGATGTTACAGAATGTTAAACAAATTTTAAAATTTTAAAGAATGTCACAAAAATAATTAAAAGGGTACAAGCATTTTAGCATGATAATGCAAATATTGAAACAAGTATCCAGATTTTTGTATATAACTTTAGTTAATATCTCCACTCCTCTTTTTTGCACTTGTACCCTTTTCCTTGTTAGCCCTTCAATTATTAGAGTCCGGATTATATGCATTTGCATTTCCATTTTACGTTTTTTGCATTTTTATTTTTATACTAAAACTAATTTTAATTTTTTATATATTTTAGATAACAGGCTATCTGAACTTAGCCTCGAACACAATAGATAACTTCACGCACGGCCTGTCCCTAGGTGGCGCTTTCCTGGTGTCCCTCAGGCTGGGCCTGTTCACCACATTCGCCATCCTAGTCCACGAAATTCCCCACGAGGTGGGAGACTTCGCCATTTTGTTGAAATCCGGATTTAGCAGGTGGCACGCCGCGCTTTTCCAGATACTGACCGCTGGGGGCGGTCTGATAGGGGCGCTGTTCGCCATCCTGTTCAGTGGGGTGTCAGATTCCATGGGTAAGAGTTTTAGATGTCAAATTATAAAAACCAAACACTACAAATTGGTACCTACTATAGTCGCGGCCAAATCTTCATGGGTAAACGTCATCAATGGTAAATAAGCATAGTACATATGTATATGTACTATGCTCCACACCTCAAAGTCCCACCACGTGACCACGTACGGAACGCAGTCTTTTGAAAATTTGGCATTTAAGGCTTTTCAGGTTATGTATCTGTCAAAGTATAGTCAATGAAAAAAATAATATTCATAGTGTTACCGCTTATGTAAGGTGCAATATAAGTGATATTTTTGTGCATTGGGTCTACATTTCTCCATAAAATAGTTTTAACTAAACAGCATTTATTAAAAAAAATCTAACTTCTCTATTATGAAATAAGAATATCTGTATCAAATGAAGGTTAATGTATTAGAACAAAAAATATCATCTAATTTTGTATTTTAAGGTTAGAAAAATCTATTTTGACCAAAATAAATGAGTGGATTATTTGGAAGTGTGTTAATATGGTCATAAATAAATATAGGTATACTAAATAATTGTTAAATATGGTTCAAATTAAAATGAAGCTTTTATACTTCTAATGACAAAACTTGTGCATACCTCTCGGCATACCTACTTTAAGTTAGATTATAAGAAAACAAACAATTTTTAGAGAAACTTGCAATGTGAAAATATTTAATACTCCCATGACATGTGATTTATTAAAATTTTTAAAGTTATAATTATTTTTCGATGTAGATCAAATTCAGTCAAAGCTTTTTAACTATTTGTATTGACAAAACTTTATGTATGTTCACTTTAAGCTGAATAAGAAAAAATACCACATTATTAAATACAATATAATATTGTATAATAGTCTTTTAAATAATCCAAAATACTTATTTATTTTGGTCAAAATAAATTTTTCTAACCTTAAAATTACAAAATTAGATGATATTTTTGTTATAATATATTAACCTACCTTTAATACAGATATTCTTATTCCATAATAGACAAGTTAGATTTTTTTAAATAAATGCTGTTTAGTTAAAAATTTTTTGACAATTGTTTCGCTAACACAGTAGCTTCTTCAGAAATGATTTCAAACTTTTTTCAATAACAAACTTACATAACCCAGTTATTGCAGGTAATGGGTTTTTTTAACAAATTTTAGTACAGAATGACAATTTTACCTGTCGAAGTATAATTTAAAAACAGGGAATTTTATATAATATTAGAATAAATTTAACAGAGGGGAATTATTTGTTTCTATTTGATCATTGAGGATACTATCAGATTTTTTTAATTTATTAATTTCTAATGATTCAAGTAAATTTAACTTCGTACCTTTATCGTACCTATATTGAATCTGGTATACAATTCTCTTGTAGAGCCAGCTAAGATATGGTATTTTAGGATAGGGAGGACTATATAAAAATCAACTGTTTGAGATTAAACTTAAAAAATTGTATTATCTAATAGTCGTATGACTCATATTCACTCTGAAACGAAAACATTTAGATTAGTCAATACAAGACAACCATCTACCTGTCCCAAAGGTTAACAAAACTATAGGTCTTCTTCTTCTTTCTTGGTGGCCAATCGCCTTAATGGTCTTGGTTCCAATGTACCATTTTGACCAGAACAAATTTTAACGTATATGCGCTTTACTAAGAAATCCACCGTGAATTTTACAATCTTGAAACATCCACTAAATCTTTTGGACAAAGCACAAAATACCTCGCTAAAAGGTCAAAGCTTGCGATATTGTCCAAAAATACAAGTATATTTCTATCCCGGAATCCAATGTTGTCCCTACTAGGTCAAAAAGTTTTCTATATTTCATTATCTTTTATGAATATTTATATTACTATTTATGATGTGTTTAATTATCTTTTTCTTACCATTTCCTAATTATGGTTAACCATGTATTATATGTTTATAACTTGTATATTTACACGCTAAAATGTTTCATTTTTAGTTTATTATTATTATTATTATGATATAATATCACGCGCTCTCTTTAATATGATCGAAGTGTTTTCAAAAATTGTTTGAGAGACGTAGGAACATTTTTTTATCAAAAAACTCGTACGCGTAGATTCCTAATATGAGATAAAAAAAGCTTGTCCCAACCACATTGCTTGAAAACCAATTTTTTGCATTAAAACTAGAAAATAAATTATTTAAATAAATATGAAATATTTAGACTTTATTAAACACATCGTGTTTAATTATATTTGTACAATGATTTTGGATTTGGATTTTGAAAATTAAAAATGATTACAAGAACTAACGTTTCATATTTATAAAGAAAATTTAAACTCATATAACTTTACCAAATATTATGTATTAATTTTGATAAACGCCATTTTAAAACAGATTATAAACGAGTTGCATACTATACTTTTTCTACGACAAATACTTAGTGTTATCCAAAAAATGATTTAAATTAAATATTTGTATAAAGCGACATCTATACCAACCCAATAAACATTTTTGAAGTAATTTTCACCATTAAGATTGCCCGTTATTATCGATACTTTAAAATAATTTCAAAATATGATTATATTAAGAAAATATTTTATCCTTTTATTTTTTTACTACCTACTATAATTGCAAAATATTATCAAAAAGTATTAAACATTCTAACACGGGAAATGTTAAAGGTTAAATTAACACATTTTTCTTCGCCATAAACTGTCATGGAAACATGTACGATAATGAGCGTTTTAATGAAGGGAGTCCAAAAATAATATAACAGTTTATTTTTTATATTACAGAAGCCAGAACATCATGGATCCTTCCGTTTACTGCTGGAACTTTTCTACATATCGCTCTGGTAACTGTTCTTCCCGATTTACTTAAGGAGGAAGACCCAAAAGAGTCCTTAAAACAAATCATCGCTTTAATATGTGGAATAGTGATAATGGCTGCAGTTTCATCCTTGGAATAAGTGGATTCATCAATAAAAAAGCATTTGCTTTAAAATTAAATTGGAATTTTTCACTTGAAGCATCTCGAAGCAATCGATTTGCAAAACAAAACACCTACGTGGTCAAATTGTTATAATTTTTTCTATGAAATTTTAGTTGCCATATTTTTCGTAGCCTTAGTGAAAGTGATGTATGTAAATTTTTTAACAGTATTTCTAGTTTTTAGTCTGTGTTATTATATAAACGCCCGTTGTAAAAATCAACAGGGTGTTTTCCAAAGCAAATAATAAAAATATTTTCATAATTCACAAGACGACTTGTAATTGCTATATTCTAACGAAAAATGACTACTCATAGCAATTACGGTATAAAACATAATTGTGACACATTTTTCTAGCTTTTGTTTGTTATAATATTAACATTTCTGGATTTCATGTCTGATTTATATTATATTGTAACTTTAACAAAACAAAATTTTGTGATATTTATGACATTTTCATTAGTTATTATATTGTATATTTTATTATAGTACTTAAAGTGCTCTTTCTATTTTATATCAAAATGTAAATAAACTGATATTTAAGAGCTACACTTTTTAACTTTCTCTAAATTTTACCTAATAAATCCAGAGCTGGGAAAGTTACTTCTGAAAAGTATCTAGTTACTTGTCTAAGATACTTTAAACTTTTTATATTGGACAGAAAGTATCTTTAACTTAGTTACTTTGGAAAAGTATCTTGTAACTTTTATCTTAAAAAGTTGCTCGGTAAAGTAACTAAGATACATTCAAGTAACTTAGATACATTAAACTATCTAAGATACTTTTGAGTAACTAAGTTACTTTTAAGTTTGAATAAAAACTATAAAATTATAAAAATTCAACAAGTTGTAGGTTAGGTGATTACTTTGAATCATTCTGGAATTCTCCCAATTTTCTCCAAGAAAGTATCTAAGTTACACTGAAAAGTATCAAAGTTGCTTTAATGTATCTAAGTTACTTGAATGTATCTTAGTTACTTAACCGAGTAACTTAGATACTTTTTAAGATACAAGTTACAAGATACTTTTTCAAAGTAACTTTCCAATATAAAAAGTATCTATAGATCTTATAAAATAGTATCTTAGACACTTTAAGTATCTAAGTTACTTTCAAGTACCTTTTTTTTCAAGATACTCCCAGGTCTGAATAAATCTTTTCTGAGACTATTTAACAAAAAACCTATTTTATTAGTTGTAGGTATAAGTAAATAGGGACTTTAAACTCTTTAACTAAACTACAAGTAACCTATAGTGACAAAAACCCACTTTTGACATTCCAAAAACTGTCAACATGTACAGCATTAGCAAAACAGAAACTTTGGTAACAATAGCTACACATTTTTCAAGCAACTTGGCTCTAAAATTCGAGGACGATTTCTTTAATGCTGATGGGTTTTGTGTCGCTCACGATGGTCATATCAATTATATCCCTTTGAAAAATCAAAATAAAAAATGTAAGTATGTTCCTGTTTCGAGGGATCACCTTGGAACTGGAAAAATTAAAGAGGTAAGTCACAAACAATACTTAATATTAAATTCAAATTCAATTTCAATATTTTATTCATCAATTTTACCCCAGTTTCTTTGGGTTCTTTAGTTTCTTCTCTAGTTTCATTTTTAGATTTTTCTTTAGTTTCTTTTAGTTTTTATCAGGTGTTGACCGATTTTAATACAGGGTGGCCCATCGAAAACAGCCCAAGGTTTACGGCTTTGTATGTGAAAATAAAAAAAAATCTTCGGACCCGTATACTTTTGTTTTCAGGGGGACATATTTACAAATTCATTTCATAACTGTAACTTCAGCCCCTAAATGGGGCGGCAATCACCCTTATTTTTTCAAATGAAAAGAGGTATGTTGTAATACATCTCTTAAAAGGGCATTACATTTTTTTAAATTTAATCTATTTTATTACGAAAGAAGTTCACTAAAAGGAAAAATTATTATAAAAGGTATGGGAACCCAAAATAAAGCTACAAAAAACATGCAGCGAAAGTCTCGAGAAGAGCAGAAATTGTTTAAAAAAAACTTTTAACAGTCAACATTTATTATTGCAAAACTGTGCGGTGAAAGTTAACAAAAATTTATATGGCGTTTCTACAGGCATAAGTGCATTCGAAAAAAAATCATTTATTTGTCAATGTCACGTTAGAAGATATGCAATAGGCTGAATAGGATATGTATTTAATTAACGCATATCTTATAATAATAATAAAATAATAATAATAATAATAATAATAATAATAATATCTTTATTGCCCAACAGAAAAGAAATTCCAATTACAGGACAATTATAATAATACAGAATATATAAACAAATACTAAAGTAAATATAAATTTAAAATAAGTTTAGCTAACTAACAAACAAAATAATTTATGGCCAACGTTGTAATATTTTCAATAGTGGCAACTGCAATATCACATTCATTGCATATTTTATTGAAGTTACCACTCATGACAAATACTGGAGATTTCAAAAGAACATTGGTTCTGGCATATGTATTATAGAAAGTTAAAATAGATCTAGCATTAATTCGTGGTACGTGAATGTTAAAGAGTGATATCAAAACGGTACTGTCTATTTCATTACTGAACAGCCCGTACAGAAATGTAATACTTAATAAAAATCTTCTACATTGCAATGACCTAACATTAAATCTATTCAACAATAAAATATGTTCAGTACCTCTAGCAGGATAAATATTGTCAAGCCTAAAAGCTAAAATTTTCAAAAATCGCCTTTGTACTCTTTCTAATTGATCAGTGTAGGCATTATAACATGGATACCAAACAAGAGAGCAGTACTCTAGCTTGGTACGAACCAATGAATAATACAATACTTTCAATGCGCCCTCACAATTCATTGATTGAATATTTCTATTTATAAAACCAACCATTTTAAGAGCAGATTTTACAATACTAGTGATGTGGTCAGAAAATGATAATTTGGTATCAAAATATACTCCCAAGTCTCTGGTACCTGTACACCTTGATATGGAATCGTCATTAATTGTGTAAAATAATTGGATATTTTTTTAGAGTAAAGGTACACACCTTACATTTACTGATATTCCAAAAAAGTCTATTGAGGATACACCATTCATTTATTAAGTTTTTTTGTAGGTATACAGTCTGATGCATCTGAAACATCAACGAACAATTGCAAGTCATCAAATGTTGACACTTTACAAAATTGGAAATCTCATTGATAAAAAGGACAAATAATAGTGGACCCAGGTTAGAACCCTGAGGAACTCCAGAGCCTGTCCATGGACTTACACTATCAGAACCAAAACCATTGTAGGTCACAAATAATTGACGATTAAACAAGATAGGAGTGAAATAAATTCAAAAGTTATAACATGACAATTAGAAATCTATTATATATTTTTTTCTACTCCTATTACGGAATTTGACCCTTCTAATATCACTTTTATCTATGGAATGACATATATTCCGTAAAGTGTTACAGAATGAAATATTCTATCATCTGATGACAGAATAAACACTCGTGGCGACATCTCTGTTTTTAACAAATTTTAGATCGATCCAACCTCACTTTCTTCCAATTAAATTATTTTTCTATGGTATAAAATATAAAAATATATTTTTTGGAAACGTAGAAAAAGTATAGTCTGAAACACGTTTGGAATTGCATATTCCGCTCTCGTGAAACCGTCAAACTCGCCTTCGGCTCGTGTAACAAACTCTTCATTCGAGCGGAATATGCTGTATTCCAAACTTGTTACAGAATATACTATTCTCGGAAGCACTTATACCTGTGGAATTAGCATATACATTTTTGTCAACATTTAGCAATAATAAACGATAACATCCCGTGTAGTCTTAGCAACATTGGCAGCATTTTTTTAACAGTTTTTCATAGCGTTTAATATCCTGTCTGAACCTAAATCATAACAATTATTTTTTACTAAGGAATCAAACTTTTAATTTTTTTCTAACCTTTATTAATATGTTTGAATCAATAATTTAGATTGTTCTTTAAAAATGGAATGGCCACCATTGCTTATATCCTTTCAGATAAAATGGGTAAAAATAGAATTTGAGATATACTTTATAACTTTATCTGATTTGGGATTACATATATTTGATGAGGAGCTGGCAAATATAAAGTTTGTATATTCCTTTGATGACTTCACTTTGGATAATTGTAAAAATGTAGTTCCTACATTAACAAAACAATATAAAACAATTAAATTCTTTTTAAGCTTGTCCAAATGGTTGTTGCGTAAGCAAAGATATTCTATATGTAGCAGTGGATAACTCAAAAATCTTTGCATTTCAATGCAAAAGAAACTATTTTCAAATCATGAATGAAACAAATTGCATATTTACATCATTTGGTGGTTCATTTAAATCTTACATAGTGACTGATCATTTCGATGCTGTTAGTTTATGGAAAACCGATTGCCATGGAAAATTAAATCTCATAGAGAAGTCATTGGAAGGGTAATTAATATACTTCATGCAACAAAACATTAATTAAATGAGTCCCAATGTTAACATTTCAACAATCTAAATTCTGTGTTTTTGTTTATTAATATAAATATTTCAGGTCCTTATACGGCACAACAATCCTCAAAATATTTCCAGGATTCGTATCAATAGGTTACAAAACAGGACTCCTTATAATCCTTGAAACTCCATCCTTAAAATCCCTGGCCAAACCACTGGCTCACAATTCGGATATAACGGACATAGATTTCTGCAAGAATAAAAATTTACTATTGACCTGCTCAAAGGATATGTTTGTTAAAGTTTTCAAAATACACGATACTCGGGAAGATAATTCTTCATTTAATTTAGAATGTTTATTTGAGCTGGAAAATCCTAAAAAATTTCCGTACTGTGGTGCCGGATTTTTGGACCCTGATGCTACCGAATTTTTAACTGTCATGTCCGATGAAACGCTTGTGCAAATTTTTAACGGGAAAGTGGATACCGAGGAATTGAATAATGAAAAACTTTTTTGTCCATAATTTTGTCCCTGCTATAACATAATATACAGGGTGTTAAAGAAAGGGTCCCTTAGCGACGCCTTGCGGATGACTACCCTTGTGATTTTTTTCTGAGCCGTTAATTAGAAAATCAATGGTTTACCCCTCGGTTTTGATCACACGCCCTAGAAATATTTTACCTTTTTAACACCCTGTATATGTACGTTTTCTACATATTAAATGTTAAATATTGAAACAAAATATACGTCATTTAAAGGTTGTCAAAAGGTATAAAAATAATTTGTTTTGCCTTAATTTTAATTATTGTTAATTGTATAGTTAATGTAAAATTAATTGTTATGATGCTTTTGATAAATTTTACTACACTCTAAAATACTTTTACTTAACAAAATAATCATCCCGCAATTTGCCAATTTTCCAAAATTTGTTTTCAAGCGTACAATAATTTTCATGTTATATGACTGTATTAATACTATCAAAAACAAAACAATGAAAATATTAAAGTAATCTTACTTAAATTGCGAAACTCAAAATATATACATATAAATATAAAACAAATAAAATATCAAAGCAATCGGAATACCCACCACCTGAACTCCAATTGTTTTTGCCGCGGCCTAATAAATAGGGATGGGATATTTAGGTACTAAAAACTGAAAAATAGGTAACTAAAAAGGTACTAAAAAAAAGCATTTTAGGTTAAAAAAAAAACAGCATTTTAGGTAAAAAAAAACATTAAAAGTCTAAGTTTCGTTTATAATTTTGTTTAGCCGCATACCCAAACACAGAACATACCCACAATAAACTATTTCCATGCAATAAACTGTGTTTTACTGAGTGACACTCACTACACAGAAGTTCTATGACAGAACATAAGCTCACTAGTAGTGATTCACTACAAAGAAGGTAACTGTAAAGAAAGTTTCTGTTACAGTCTGTAACCATAAGAAAAAATTCTATACCGTTGAGTTGCACGCCCTGGATAAAATATTGGCGCAAATTTTAAAAAGAACAAAAAAAATAAAATAAGTAAAAATACGTAAAAATAGGTAACAAATATGTGAAAATAAACTGACAAATTAAAAAATATGTAACAAAAGTATAAAAAGGTAGTTTAAAGCAAAAACCTCCAAAAAAGGTAAAAAAGGTGAAAAAAAGTTAAAAAAAATAGGTAACAAAAGTATAAAAAAGGTAGTTAAAAGCAAAAACCTCCAAAAAAGGTAAAAAAGGTGAAAACAAGTTAGGTTCATATAAAAGAAAATCTTTTAAAACACATTTTGGCATTATTGGTTTTCAAATAGTTACATCGGTTAAAAAAAGGTAAAATAACTAAAATCCCATCCCTACTAATAAAATACATTGCCAATAGAATAAGCTTTGTTTATAAATACTTCCGCATATAGGCACAGAAGGGTGACCGTTATTTACCAAGTTGATTTTTTCTTTCGACGCCCCTAAATGTTAAGTTTATCGCCTAAAAAAAATGTCAGACCAAAATAAGCCTTTAATATTCATAATAAACCTTGCCCTAAAGGCGATACATTTCCCTTTCAAATTACATAGGATTTTGACACGTTTTTCAATTAACTTTTTTTTCCAGGCAAGATGACTTACAGCAATGAGACATATATATTCTTATAGTAACGCTCTACAAAAAATGTCTCTTATAATTTTTCGATTAAATTACTCGTTAAAAAGTTAGTCGAGGTGAAAGTTGATATTTTTACTTTTACGGCAAAGTTATTATTATTTCGATGAAATTTATTTCTGAAAATAGATAATTCTGGTGGTATTATAGCCACTTATAGGTTTCGTACCAAGATATTTGAAAAGTGAATATTGCTTACCCTGCCTCTTATCGTTAAATATTGATGAAATTTTTGGCGTTATACAACTGCCCAATATCGGTATTTTTTCAGTTTCGTTTCTTATTAAAAAAGGCGTTTCAGTTATTAAAAGAATATTATCATGAACAGGATTCATTTAAGAAAAAACAGAAAAATTAAACTAAAGAAAACTTAAACCGGTTTTTTGAAAACCTAACCTTAATTGAAAGTCTATACGACTTGTTGTTTAATAAAAACTATATTTGCAATGCTATTTAAGGTACTTAAATAGTAAAGTTAGTTAAAGTGACTATACAGGTAAAATAAGATGAAAGACAAAAAACTCTTTGTCCATAATAAAAAATAAAAAAAACTCTAAAAACTTATTTAAACAGTTCGAATAAAACTTAACAAAACAAAATATTAGGTCAATCTCAAGATTCCCGCCCCTAGATTTCAAATTTGCGAATAGTCATTTTAATAAATTACTCTTCAATCTACTCTGCTATTATTTACTTTATGGCGCAGTCGGTAGGATATTTTGTAGTGGGAGTTTATTAATTAGTGTTGCCTAGTATTATTTGTACATTTGAAAAAGTTCCATCAAATAAAGTTAATTTTATTTACATTTAGGAACCCCAGGAACAATACTTGTGTTATATTTATAGCCTGTGCTTAAATATTTTTTTGAAAAAACAAATTGTATAGATATTATTAACGAAATAATATATATATTTTTTAATTTTTGCAAAAAGAAATTAAGAAAAAAAACTAAAAAAGCCTTTAAATTTAAAGGGTTGGGGTATGGTCCCTGCTATACAGGCTATAAATATTTCACCTCTATTCGGTCGACTATAGTCGATAGCTATCGACTATAGTCGATAGCTATCAACGGTGTAGTGGGTTGACGCGGTTTGAGCGTGGATTTTAATTTACCATTTATGCAGACGAGCCGCCACTGACATGTTTATGGGTTTATTAGTTTCTGACAGGGAGGGTATTTGCTTCTGTCAAGTCTGACGTAAAATAAATAAATTTAATATTGTTGTTTTCGTCATGATTTATTAGTACGCCAAGTTGCCATTTAAAAAATTATGTATCTTTTTAAATAACGAAGATAGATTTATAACATTTTTTTTTAATTCGTGTGGGTCCGTAGATCATACACCTTAAAGGGGGTGTGCTACTTTTGGGAAACCTTGTAATTCAGGATTAATAATTTTACCAAAGAATACTATTAAAAACGTAACTACATGCGTATATTAATATATAAAAACTCATTAAACATTGTTAACATATTTCTTACGTAATTTACCTACAAGAAAAAAAAATGATGGAAAAAAAATAATGGATTTTTTGGATGTTTTGAAAAAAATATTTAAATACTACCATTAGATACGCGTTATTTTAATTATTGCGCTGTTGCCTATTTCTATGTAATAAAAAAATACAGGGTGTTTCATTTTCGAGCCATAAACAATAATTAAATTAAATTAATGTAAATAAATGTTGTGCGCATCAGTGGTTACTGTTTTATTTTCTCCGAGAAAAAATACCAAAAAGAGCTTTTTAAGATATTCTTGATAAACCATTAATATACAAAATAAAACATTTAGTATAATTATAGATTTTTATAGAAACAATAACTATTAGATAAATAACTATGCAATTATAATTTTCCTTGTAGACCTTCAATAATACAGAAAAGTCTTATCTAGAACTTTACAACAATTAATAAATAGATTCATTAATATGAGGAAGTCAAAAGATTAAATGTGTGTATCAAAGTACATGTATAACTACTTAAGAACAATATATTTTTTTATTTGAGTATCATAATGAGCTCATTATAAAACGCATTTGCGTGCGACAATGTGTCAATTTCTCGCACAGTTATTGTGGATAATTTGGCAACAAGATATTTATATCATTATTATTGAAACGTCAGTTCGCAATGCTTAAGATATTGTTCAAGCGAGTTTTTTTTGTTTCAAGCTAATATTATTCTTAAAATTTAGGTAAAAGAAAAAATACTACAAAGAACTCATATTGTTTTGTAAACTTGTCATTATGCTAGAAAACGAAGCAGCAGCTGCACATCATAAAACGCATGCGATAATAAGTCATTTTCTAGCACAGTTTTCATAATATTATGTATCAAGTTTGATAAACGCCATTTTATACACGAATTTAATTTAGGCACGAGCGAGCTTGCGAGCGAGTGCTTAAATTAATGAGTGTATAGAAAAGTTTATAAACAAGGGGCATACTATACTTTTTCTACGACAAATACTCATTATTATCTTAAAATGATTTAAATCAAAAATTCGTATAGAGCGCCATCTATGAAACACTAGGGGAATCTGTGTATCACCGTCAAATGTCACATTTTTAAATTTTATAAACACAGATTATAAAGGTTATAAATCGAAATGTATTTCTTGAAAATTGTCAGTTTTTCACAGCGAAAGTAAAGAAAATGTTTTATGAGGACTTTACAGTGGAGTCCGTGCCCGAATTTAAGTTATAGTTTACTGCCGGCAAAATTAAAAGGTCAGTACAATGTTCATATAAACTTTTCAAATATTGGCGTTGAGAAACTATTTAATACTTTTGTATTTTTGTATAGAGATAATAAAATAACTTTCACATTTAGTATTATTTTACAAGAAAGGCACTTTATTTTAACGATTTTATGACATTTGACAACTGTCAACTAACTTAAAACTAACTTCAGCCCGTGACTAAAAACCTGTTGCTAACTTCAGCCCTTGACTAAAGTCACAACTTGTCAATGTGTATTTAAAAGGTCACGTAGTGTCATGGAAACATGTACAATAAAGGGCGTTTTAAAGGTGGTAGTAGAAAAAAGATATTTATACAAATTTGGCAACACTATATGTCATTATTATTGAAATGTCAGTTTGTTAATAAAACATTGTTCAAGCGAATTTTGACAGTTGAGGTTAATCTGACATTTGGTACTACCAACTGCAGAATCACAATATGAATTATAGATCATACTTCTGCCGTGCTAAGCCAAACCCCCGTATCCGCAATATTCAGTAATAAAGGACAACAGATAACACTGTGCGACAAATTTTGACCTTACAATTTGAACTGGGATGAAATGTGGAAAAATCGAATCTATGCAACCCCCAAAACTAATCTTTAAAGGGGTTTTGCTAGTTTAGCTCGAATAATGGAGATAT